ATAAAAAAAAATTTGGGGAAAAATTAAAACCCATTTGTCCCTATTCTCAAGAATCACAACATGATCATAAACCGAAGATAAAAGTGCAGCATTTTAGCTGAATTAAATCTTCTATTTAATTATTCAACTTTATCTGAGTAGTTTCAATAATACGAAGGAAAATATTTGAATTATTGGTGAAAAATGCATTGGTTTTGTCGTTGGACTCGACAGGTGGAGCAGATGTCGGCTAATTGGAGAGCTGAGAGTTCAATCCTTAAGTTTCTCAGACTACAGGTATAGCAAAACCCCAGCAGCTATAAGTAGGCGTGTTTGATGGAGAAGAAAATACAAGGCCCTCAGCTCTACAGACCAAGCAGTGCCAAATGATTTATGTGTGGGTGACTGCAGCTCTGTGGCTGATAGTACAACAAATCTTTGATGGTGAACAAGACCAGAAAATCTCCATTTAGTTTCAGTTTTGCTTTAGCGCCCTTATTTTTTTCTCTCTCTCCAGAATATGAAACATGACTGCTTTTAATGGTTGGTTAGTCTCCAGTGTATTTCCAGAACCATGTTTTGATTCTCGAAGCTACACGTTGTCGTTTTTCCCCGCGCCAGTGATGAGGTTTCTCTGAAATGTGAGGCTTGAGGACGAAAAGTAAACATTAGGTATCTCGTATTCAAATGAAATAGTCATCAAAGCGACAGATGGAAAAGCCGCAGCATTAAACAGAATAGAGCAGATCAATCTACGCGGCCCCGCCTTGTGCTTATCCTTTATTAACAGTGAAGAGAGCAGGCGCCGGAGCATGGACGGCTCAAAGCAACCTTGCTGAGACAGGCAGTGTGCCTTAAAGTGGCAAAAGAGTCTGATCTAATTTGATGGGTTTCAGCTCTGCTCAGCTGCCACCTATCACCTTCACCCTCTTTTTCTCAGAGTTCTCACTTCCCCAGTAGAATCCATTGATTGGCGACCACCGCCACGCGCCAAACATGCGCAAACAGTAAGAGTCCCTGACAGGTGGAGTGAATCCCATTGATTATCTAATTACAGTGACACCTGTCAAGGGATGGGATCAGGCGGCAAGTGAACAGCTGCTGCACCCCGTGTACTGGAAGCTCCAACAAACGGGCGAGTGAGGGTTTGAAGGTCTTTGACAAAGCGAGGGTTGTGACGGTCGGATCAAAACAGCACATGATGGCCGACTTTGTGGTGAGGCCGTCGTGAGAAAGTGTCTTTTTCTGTGATGAACATTGGGCATATCTAAAGACGTGTACTAAGCTGGCACTCATGGTATATGTGTATTGTTTTATCATGTGTGCATATTCAGGTGAAGTGGATGAAATCGACAAATAACACCCTTTTCCACGACATGGTAAGCAGTGACATCACCGTTTTATCCATTATTTTGTTTCCACAAAATGATGAAAATTTTTTGCTAGTCACACATTCTAAGAGCGTCACAAAGAAGTAAAATATTCATTAGTTGGAAAAAGTACATCACAACCCTGTCATCTGGAACTGTTGCAAACGTTCAGCATCCCAAAGTGATGAAATCTTCATTTGTGTAGATAAAGAGTCTGCATAAAGTAGCATGAGATAAAGTATGTTTTGGGGTGTGGGAGGGACATTTAAGGAACATTTGAGTAGCATCTGCATCAGTTTCAGTATCAAACGTGTTAGGCAATATCTTTTTAAAAGTGCCAAAAGGAAGAAGAAAGTAATACTGGATAGTAATTTACTCAATGCTGGAGAAATACTAAACAACTCTCAAATTCTTCAAAGATTGAAAAAAAAAAAGTTGAAGTACAGACGAACAGAATGGTTTGAGTAGATTATTGAAAAATGACTGAAAGACTTGGGTTCAAACACCAAACAATTATTCCTGATAAGGAAGCCCATTCATGCTTTGTCAAGTCAACAGAAACAACAAGTCACTCAACGTCTAACGAGAACAAAAGTTTAAAAGGTAAAAGTGTAGGTGCTGTTCATCATTCACCAGTAAAAGTTCAAGAAGAAGAAACGGAAGATGTCAACAAATATACATAACCATCATTCCTTGCCTTTTATTCCTTTTTCCACTGGCTGTTAAGTATTGGTCAGTAATTAGTTAGCACTACCTGCTTCCAGATTTGGCTCAAAAAGCCCAGAAACGTTTGGTTGCTTTAACTCAGATCGGGTCTCTTCACCTCAGACTCTTGCAGATTTTTTAACTAAGCCAACGGCCTCAACTAGTGCAGAATGGTGGAGATTTTCTTAGCTTTTAACTGTGGCTAAAAGATAAGAACTCCTGTTATTATATATAGTGCATCCCCTGCATAAGACAGCATACTTTCTTTTGACACTTAAAGAAATGATTCTACACAATCTTGTGAAGTTTGGCTAGAAACACGTTGTTGAAAGACCAAAAGTTCTTTTCTTTACATCGTAGGACAGATAAATGGTTTCCATGGACCTTTTGATCATTTTCTTAATGCTTTACATCCATGCCAGAGCCAATAACCACTTCAATCTTTGCAATCTTTGCTGATTTTGAAAGCTCTTAAGATGGCACACAATCAAAGACTGGAGCTGACCCTGTACCACTTTAATTAAAACCCATTTGGGCATGTCCTTAATTTAGAATAGCCCGTTTCTTTTATTTAGCTACCGTAAATGTAAAAAAAACAAAAAAAAACAAAAAAAAAAACAAAACAAAATTCAGACTACATCTCAAGTGTACCACTTGTATTATATATTCCTTTGAACTGTCAAGAATGTGAACTTGTTTTGCTGCATGTGCAAGTGCACTTTCCCTCCCACCTGAGAATATCTTTGCCAGTGTTCTGCAGAAAGACCCCGCTAGCTTGTCCTCTGTACATTATCTAGCTGCTGAAGTGCCGCTCCTGGGGATAAGCAGCTGCCAGAAAACTGAAGGATGACAGCTAATGGAGTTTCAGACAGACATGTCCTTGGACATCTTTTTGTTGCTCCAGGTAAGGAAAAGTTGAATCAACTTTGTCAGTATAGTTGTATTAAGAGGATTATAAGCAGGGGTGTTTTCGCCTTAAAAAGCTGCATTAATTTAAAAACTCCTACCAAAAATATGCACAATTTTTTTTTATAGCGCATGCCAGTCATCAACATTTACACCCAACGACGGATTTATTTTCAAGAATTTACAGCAGATTTGTGTACTTACTGAGAAAACTGTGAATAAAACCTAAAGCTAGCAAAGTCATTACAGTGCCTTGAAACTTTAACCAATTTGCTTAAAATATTATAATCAGATAACTCTATGTATTTCACTGAGATTTTATGTGACAGCCCAGAACACAAGTAATTGTCAAATGACAGGAAAACAATACAAAGTTGGCAAATCCAAATATTAAACGTGCTTTACATATTTGTATCTGATTCTCTTTACTCTGATATCGCTAAATCGAGTTTTTTGAACTCTTGAAGTCTTTAGTTACAAGAACATTTATAACAGAACAGGATTCTCATATTAGTGGCAAAGCTAACTTGATGTGGTTAGCTGAGCCACAAAGCTAACCACAATGAGTTAGCTTTGTTAGCAAAGCTAAAAATCAGCTTTGTGTATTAGCCACAACTCAATGCTGTGGCTAACATCAAGTTAGCCACAACATTGATGTTTGTGGCCAATATTTCACAACGGTTTAAAGTGAATGTGTTCAAAAATTCGAAGAGTTTGTCTTTCTTTTCTCTGAAAGCCTGAATTTTCATCACAGATTAAGATTTGGGGACACGTACTCTGGTGACTTGTTAGGCACCGTGTTTCGGCCCTGAAAGGAGCAGCAGCTACATTATTAGAGGCATGTTTTCATGCAAAAATCTAAGAGAGACGCTGCGTTATCTTCTCTGTGTACATATTATACATCACAGCAACGTTTGCCTCATAAAGAGCAACCTGAAGAAAGTTTAAGGGGACAGTTCAAATCTGCTTACATGACGTTCTTCGAGGCCATCAACAGATAAAGCTCCGTTCCACGTACACAGATGTCGTATCAAATTTGTAGAAACGTAAAGGTTTCACAGGAGACTGTAGTTAAGTCTGCAGCTGCTTTCTGGTCAGAACAAGCCCTGTGTTGCAACATTTAAATGTTCGATGGGTTAGGGTTAAAGGCAGGTCAGTACAGCTAGCGGTTTAGCTTCTTCTTTAGCTTAGCAACAACAACATCTGTTTACCACAGTGACTGTATGGGAGCTAACAGCATCCAATTGGCTTAATTTATATTTTACAAACATTTTTAATGTTCTCATCTTGTCACCTGTTTGACAGTTGGCAAAACAGCATTAAACATTCTTAAATATCCTGTTAAAAGAGCTGAAAATAACTTTTGTAATATTTTTCTAAACTTAACCAGCTGACATGATGCTGGACTTCATATTGTGACTGTAGATGCACAACATTAGCATTTCCTTATGAATAAATCATTTCAAGGGCTTCCTAATCTTTCTTTTAGTATTCAGCAGTTGCTCTACTAAAAGAAGATCACCTAAAGAAAAATAAGGGATTAATAATAGAGTATGTACTGTAAAAGTCTAAAAATATACGTTTTTTTAATTCCCAGTACCTGAGAACCATCTGCTTGCAAACATGTTGGAAAGGTGATTCATGAAAAATGCCATCTGCCCCTCCGCTGCTTCAGTCAGACTGAATATTACTGCTATTTTTGTGTCCAGCGCTGAACATATCAGGTTCCTGAGCAAAATGTGGGTTTCCCCCAGGAATCGTGTCTACGTGGCATATTCATAAACAAGCACAGAGGTCAGCGATCCATGTGTGAAACATGAGATCCTGTTTCAAAAATAATCAGTATTAAGTTATTGATTCAGAGCATGTTTTATTGATAGAAATGATGCTGGCAAAACTATGGTTAAAATAGTCCATTTAGAAAGAGAGATAAAGTTATCACTGTGTTCACAATCCCCATGCTGTCACTGCTCAATCAAAACGGCTAAAGCATTTTAGTGACGTTTTATTGTACGTTTTTTATTTACAAAGAATTTTTTTTTGCATCATATGATCAGCTGGTAAATATATACAATACTGCCACTGCATTTCACAGCATTGCTAAACAAAGTGCTCTTAAGAACAAAACAGTGATTTTATTTTATGTCAATGGTGTTAGAATCAAACTGATCAGCTGGCATTACGAAACCTTTTGGTGTCGTTTCGAGTTGAATTTAAGTTACAAGAGTTAAATTGCCACCCAAAGTTACAACTTTGCATACTTGAGAAAAAGTTTACTGTACTGACTCCAAATGAAACGAAAACGGCAACGAAAGTGTTCAAAAAACTCAGTTCAAATACTTTGTTGTGCTTTATATAAATATATATATATATATATATATAAAAATATATTGCCTTATGTTTCAATAATGTGCAGTCAGGGTGGCACATTATTGCTGTTATTTAGTTCCTTCTATGATTTATTTTCTTTTCAAATTGTCACAGCAGCGCCCTCTTCAGGCAGTTGGCGCTCTACTAATCCATGCCAAGAACCGCCCCTGCTGGAAGTAAAAAGGAAAAAAAGGAAAAGGATACATCCAGCCCCTCATGTGCTGCAGGAGCTGCTGCTGGCTGGCTGGAAGGAGAGAAAGAGAGAGAGAGGAAACGAAGGGGCTGGCTTTAGAGCTCAGACCGCAGATGGAAACCAATCACCTAATTAAGCTGAAACCAGAATGTACACACACCTTAAACATTCAAGATGTAAATAACTCACTGGTGTAACGAGGCTCGCTTTCCCCAAATGCAAAATCTCACCTGCGACAGCTGCTTTTCTCCACATCGGTTCAAAATGTCCTCACAGAACTAGTTAATAGAGATTCTTATGAAGCTTTTGTAGTTTCTTGTCTCTCTCCAAGTCGAGCTCTGTCTAGGCCTGTTGCAATAAACAACAAATCAAGCAAACTCAATCATTTCCATTTGCATGATTTATGGTTTTTTTCTCTCATCTTTTCCTACCAAACACTGGATATTATAATCTCCAGTCTGGTGGTTTGGGCTCAACCAGCCCTTCCTGTGAAGAATAAACTGTTTAACAGAGACTTAATAATTATTTTATTTGTTCATTCTTTTTATTTTTGGATAAATGGTGTTAAATATTCATTAAAATTTAAAGTTTATGGATCTTTGAGAATGTGTTCTTGCATTATTATGGCATTACCATTATATTACTTGAAAATAGACTCAATACAACAATATTATTGTTTATTACAGTAACCTCTGAGACAATGTATCGTCCAGTAAAACCTATCGTGACGGGTCAACCTCTGATAAGTTTAACTCTCCCTCCTGAGACCTTCTCTGCTGATTCTCTGTGGAAAGAAGCTTAAAAACCCGACAGGAATGTTCTGCCAACCTTTTGACCTGTGGTTGTGTTAATGTTTTTGTGTAAAGTTGTACTTTTCCTCCATATGCTTTGGATGTGTGCTCAGCCACTTGTAGTGACTTTCTGAAGCATTCCTCCCCCTTTGCATCCGTCCTCATCCCACCACTGATCCGAAGTGAATCAACTGACATTGAAAATGTTGCGCTTGAAGAGGCCAGCACTGACCTCTTCAGACTGACCTCTGGTAGACAGAAACAGTGTTAGAGTGAAACCAAGTGTCCCTCAAGTAGAGGAAAGGGAAGGAGAGGCGAAACTGGCTCAGCAGCAGAGACAGCTGGTTTTGTCAAAGTTAAACGGACAACATCTGAAACGGTGAGGCGGTCTGTTCAGATTTACTGTGCCAATTCCGGTGTATGAAGCCGAGAGATCAAAGAGGGTCCAAAAGCTCGGTTCCCGGTTTTCCCTTTCCTCTCCTCTAGGATTAAAGTACAGACTTCTTCTCGATAATCTTGGACCTTATTCAGTTCAGAGGATGTTAATTCAATACTCTAAACGTTCCTTATAGCAGTAGCAGTGGGTAGAATTAATTAGTTGTTCTTGTTAAATTTCACCTTTTTTGGTTTCTGAATAAATTCTAATACACAGATCTCCATATTTTCTTCTTTGTCAAATAGATTGCTGGTTAGAAGGGAAGTATTTATCCTTTAGCTGTTTGACAGATTGCCACATGAAATGGATGAATCTATTTAAAATCAATTACAATCAGTATACACTACAAAACTAAAAACCTAGACCTAAATTGTCCGATTGGGTAATATTTATTATTTGGTATGCATGTAAACAACTATTGAGTAAAGCAAAGGGCCTGGCAAATCTATCAACATAGGACAGTCATTGCCTTCCTGCGTAATTACGCTTGATTCCCATTTTCTCTTTAGTTCTACGTCAACTGGACCAATCAGCAACAGTTGTGAACGATGACGTTGATTTTCTGCGCCGTTTCAGAATTAAGGTCCGTCTGTAGTTTTAGCCACGGCAGCAGAGGAAGTGAACAAAGACGGTCAGTCCATGTTGGCCACGCTTCCAAATGTTGAATTATCCTTAATGGCCGCCTCGTTCGGATCGGCACAATACGCAATTCCCAGTGATCCTCTTACCGCATTACATAGGTCACGGGAAAACATTAGCAATTAAGTAACATTTAAAACCTCAACAGAGTCCACGCCTCCAGGAAGTGATCGTTTCTCAGCAGCCGACAGCCCAGACCCTCTGGACGGAGCGAACAGCGTAGGATAAGGGTCTGATTTTTACCAAGCTAAACCAAAGACACAGGATCTGAATCGGTAAGAACCACCAAGCAGAGTTCAACTGATGAAAGATCAGGGTAAAGACAGAAACACAGTAAAACCTTCCCTCGGAACAACAGAGAGCGAGCCAGACAGAGAGGAAACCGTGGGGTCTGGCAGACAGAGCTCCAATTAGAGTAATGTAGAATAGAGGAGAGGTGCATATGTGTTTTTGTGTTTGTGGGAGATCGGGCGGAAAGGAGGTCACACTCTCCTCATTGAGATATTTACAGTCCCCCATGAAAGTCCCGACTGAGAAAATAGGCCTAGGTGAGGAAAAAAAAGAAGCCCTCCTGATTCTGTGCCTGCTGACTTGACAGAATGGGGAAAAAGTGGAGGCCTGTCCCTTCCTCAAGGTCAGAGCACAGCCCAGATTCATCATTACCTGAGAGGAGCAAATGACTCAAATCTTCACCTGGCCTTTCCACATTTTACAGATCGTTATCATAATTCGGTATTAATCAGTGCCACTTCCATTTCCCAGCAGCAGAGATGCAAAAATGACCCCCCAAAAACAGCGGAGTCTGAACCTGAATCTCCTCCCGCAAAGATAAATGTGACGATTCGGAAACAGAGCGGGCACAGGTGTGTGTGTATATATATATATATATATATATATACACCCTATATATATATAGACCCTTATATATATATATATATATATATATATATAGATATATATATATATATATATATATATAAAACCCAAGGACTGAGTTTCCCACCCTCCTGGTTCTGGAAAAGGGAAGCCTTTGATGAAACGATGAAGTTGTGGTCTAATGAGGCTCGTTACGCGCCGATCGGTCGCTGCCAGAGTAGAGGTGGCATCTCTGCGCCTCGGCCAGGCTGCTAAAACACTCCTGCTGTTCTCGGTTTGTTCAGCCAGGCTCGATCACAGCCAGCTACACTTTGCGGCTGTACATCCACAGTTTCAATTATTCAGTGCCCTGCTGCACCCCTGCAAACAGAGACGGAGCACACATCAGCTGACGTTATCGCTACGTGTCAGGCTTCTTTCAGGTGCTTAACCCCTAAAGTTAAACACCGAACTGCAAATAAGCGCCGTATTTCACACTGGAAAATACAATCGGAGCTATACACTCAGCACCAGGCAAAGCAGAAGGGCTAAGCTGCTAATGATTAATGTTTGCAACATCTATTCGGCCCATTGTCGAGAGCAGAATTTCAATTGGATGAATAGTGTCTGCAAATATCAATTTTCTTTACTACTACATGTAAGATGGCAGTAGACGAAATTACAGTGAAACAAAGACAATGTCTCTGTGTTTATTTCTGAAGATTACCTTTACATATTCATATTTCACCCCAAATAGCTGCTATCTTTACTATGAGGCAGCTTTAGTTATGTTAAAAAATGTTTTCATTACACTACCAGAAGGAACTTTGGTGTGAAATTGATATTGGCCATTGGAATAATTTACATTGGAACATAATCACATTAGTTTGTAAATGTTCTTTTCAATAGTGGTTAAATTCTAAGATCATTAATTTTATGTTGGTAAAAAGAAAAATGTATCTTTTTTTTGTTTAAAATTGAATTAAAGCTGTTGGTTGATTCAGCTGGTATTCTTATTCATCATGAGTTCAGTAGAAATATGTTTCTATAGGTTGTGTTTTAAATGATTACATCAACTCCACAAAGTTGAGAACTCTCATAAAACTTCCTACGATATTCAAATGTTACACTTTCTTCATCCCCAGACGCTCATAACCTGGTTTTTACGAGCATCTTAATCTGTGCAAATGTTGAATTTGTGAATCTTTTTCCCTCTTGTGTGACGTTCAGCACTAAAAATGTTCATCCCACATTTTTGTAATACTCACCCCATTACTAGGCAACTGAAATACGCTGTGTATTTTAGCTGGAATTACAAGCCATTATTCTCTGTTGCTTTTTTAACAATGTAGGACAAACCAGGTGAGCACAAATATTTGTATAAAAAAATTGAGCAAGTAAGTGAAAAACTGCAGTAATTTGCCTAATTTAGGTGACTCAGATGTTGAACTTGCATATTTTCTACACAGAAGTGTGAGCGTGTTCATTAATATAAATGTATTTAAGTAGCTTGGTTGCATTAATTCTTTTTTATGGCATTAATCCTAAAGGGCAAATTTTTAAAAGGAGAGACTTTTACAGCGTAGGACGGAGCATTCATCTCCTTAAAGCCGACGTCAGACATAACTTTTCTAGTAAGAGTGGCCAGTTGGCTTCATGAGGTGCTTGAGTGTCAGAAACATAAATAATTTCTCGGGGTATCTTTGGTTAAAAAGATGTTCGTCTCTAAACACATCTGACTGCGTGTTCTGCCAGTCAGAAAGACGAACTGTGTTGATTTTTAGTCTCTGGATTTTCTGCTTACTAATCCAGGATGTCGATTTTTGGCTAAAGCTCAGATCTGGCTGCTCTTCCTTCTCTGTGTCTCTGCAAGGTTTCCCCTGCAGTGTCCCAAGGCTGGAGACAAACTATTTCCAACTAGAGAAACTGGGCTAATAACACCTTGTTACTCAATTGGATAAAACTCCTGTCTGTGCTGCCTGCTGCTACATTATGTTCAGTCAGACTCTAAAGAGGTATAAGTAGAAATTCGGCTGTCCCTCTTGACAGCTGGGGCCCTGGGACAGTGTGTGTGATGTCAAATCCTGGGCTGCCTTTTAGCTCTGGGCCCCTTTAAATTATTTAGTTTACATCATCCAGCCCTCTGCCCGCTGGGTCTCGATCTTATGCTTACTAGGTCACCGCTGACAGCTAATCTGTAGAGGCTGGAGGTATGATCCTCGCTTGTTAAACTCGCAGGTCTCAGAGCGTAAAAAAAAAAAAAAGTCCAACTGTATAATTTTTATTTGTCCAAAAACAGACCAACTTAACCAGTAAATATTTCAGCTTATTGAAATTCAGTTGCAAAACTGCAGTGCGATTCACAAGGAAAATCTTTGCAATTTTTTTGTTTCTGTAATTAGACACACAAGTGAAAGCAGCAGATTTTTTTGAACAAATGTAAGAAGCGTCTTGTGGTCCCATGCAGTGGTTTCCTGCCCTGCTCCTCCAGGCACACTGCCCTGCATGTTTTAGGTCAAACTCATCTTCATTTCAGGCGACATGGAGATCATGAATATTCTAAAAAGGCCAGTTGTGGCAAAAATGAATAGAAATGGTAAAACTACCCATTAAACGGTTAAAATCTGAATAAACAGGTGTGTCTGCATTCAATG